CATCATCATCATCATCATCATCATCATCATCATCATCATCATCATCACATACGATATAAACAATGGATCGAATATCAGGAATTAATTCCGTGGTAACATGTAGTAACAATATGGATACTATTGGAAGTGATCTGAACGTTATATAAGTGTGGTGACTGGACAACTCGTGTTTCAACGCAATCCAGAAGCTGTTCCACCTGCTGACATTTGTCATCTCCATCTTCTTGAAGGCATCTCCAACAGCAGGGAGCTCCTTGATTCTAACCTCCAAGCCAGACGAACGGCAAGGTCACGTGAATGTGCATCAAGTTTCAAGATGAAAGAGACAACTAAGCGCGAATTGAAATGATATGAGAAATGTGCCAAGTCAAAAGCACCAAAGGACAACAAATTGCGACAAAAGTATAATCAAGGGTTCATGCTTTGGCTCAAATCTCCCAAATCGCTCACTGCCTCCAACGGCTCACCATGTGTGGCATAGCCAACACCTCCTGGTCCTAGTTCTCCATACACGGCCGTGTCCAAGAGTGTGACCTGGCACTGAAACTACTTCGAAGAACCCAAACGACGTGGGTGAGTTGTTGTTTCAATACCACAACCACTTTTCATGATCTGAGACGTCTGAAGGCCATCCCTCCGTGTTCGACTTTGCACCTGGGAGGATATCCGTCTTAGGATTGTCCAAATGCCGAACCAGGGCGCGCTAGCTTGAAATAAGAAAAGCCAACAGAAAATGTCGAAATGGTTTGTTGGCAGATTCTTTCATTGAGTGGCCCTGTGTTCAAAGACCGCGCATGCTGGGCCAATGTCAATGTAATTAGATACGATGCACACTTTCACTTTGACCAATGGTTCAGAAACATGGCACCAGCTTTGCTGTGGGGCATGGATGAGTCTAGTGAGTCTAGTGCCTTGTACTGCAATCCTGAGAGTTGGACTAAAGGCTGTGGCTTCGGGGGGAAGGGCAAAGTGTTCATCCAGCGTGCGCAACCACCTTGAGAACTGCAGCTCACCTTGATACCTTCGAGGCTTTCTTGGTTGAAGGCATCGAAATCTGAAATTCCTGAGGCAAGTGATGCTGTCACTCAGGGAAATGATCACAGCAGTTTATCCGTCAACACTCTTAACTTAGGAGTGCTAAAAAAATAACCGTGCAGAATTCTGCAGAATGTATATTTCCTCGCCGATGGTCGATCCCTTTGGGCTGCATCCTTTCTCTTGCGCTATCAGCTTAACCGAAGAATTATCGGACTCAGACATCTGAGCATGATTTGACTCCTCCATTGTGCCTTGTACATGCACGAAGATTGGCAGCACGTACCCTTTGCTCACCCACACCAAGTCCCGATTCAGCAACACAGCTACCTTCACACCTGCACGGAGTGGCCAATCAAACTATATACAGCTTGCATGAGCATTTTGTGAGGAGTGGGCAGACTCGCTACTAGTAACAAAGGGCATCGCTACTAGGAGCAAGGACGCTACTAGTTGCTCCTGGCCG